TCTCACTTCTATTAATCCTTTTGATATTACTTTTATAAGGCTCTAAGAAGCACTTTACATTCTCTCACTTCTATTAATCCTTTTGATATTACTTTGGGGTACAGGAGCACTATGGTAGCCCATGCATATACTCGTTTATATTTGGGCCTCAGGGGTTGTTATTATATTTATGGGCTAATTAGATTCTTTTCCTAACACATATATATTATAAAAAAGTAAGTATTAATTTATATTATAAAAAATTAAGTAAACATTTTAAAATTATGTTATTTTAATGAAATTTTATTAAAAATTAAAATATTTTAATTATTTTTAAAGTATAAATGAAGATATTTTAATTTTTTTCATAATATTTTATTAAAACAATATATTTTAAAAATGTTTTTCTACTTAATTCTTTACAAGTTAAGTTAATAAACATGAATCTCTATATATATGGAGGAAAAATCGTAAATATCATATGCATAATTATCAAAATTATGATTTTACTTGTAAAATCATACTATTTTACAATTCCACGTATCAAAATCGGTTTAAATCAAAGTAATTAGTTTGATTATTAATATAATTATATTTTTCTATAAAAAAATATTATAAATATCTTTTTAATAAGGGTTAAATGCTAATTTTGGTCCCTCAACTTTATTGAGTTGCACTTTTTTGATCCTTCAACTATTATTTGTACTTTTTTAATCTCTTAACTTTAACAATTGCACAATTTTTGTCCTTCCGTCAATTTAAACCATTAACTCCATCTATGTGGCATTTTTTATACTTCTTTTGATGACATGTATAATTTAATTAGAAAAAAATGATGACATGGATAAATAAAATAACACATAGATAAATCTTTATATTTTTAATAAAAAAAATAAAAAAAACCTCTCCACCTATTTTCTTCCCCCTCTTTCTTCCTCCTTTTGTTGCTGCCTCCACTATTGATTGAACCCAGTCAAGTTAGGATCCTCCCCCCTCTTTCTCTTCTTCCCCCTCTTGCTTTCTCTTTCTTCCTCCTCCTATTGCGACCCACCGAACCTTCTTCCCCCTTTTTCTTTCTTCCTCCTTTGGCTACTGGGTTCATTTAAACCTAGAATGCTAGGTTCGATTGAACCTAGATTTGGGTTCCGCGAAACCCAACGATCTGGGTTAAACGAACCCAGTTCTTGGTTCCATGGAACCTAGCAATTTTGGTTAAACGAACCCAGTTCTGGGTTCCATGGAACCCAGCAACATGGGTTCAAGGAACCCGAATTTCTGGGTTTTCAAACCCATGTTTATAGATTTTTTTCGTTTAGTAACTCTAGCAATTTCTATGCATATATTGAACCCTTTTGTTTGATGGATTTTTGTTTCAAATATTGTGGTTGTGGGATGGTAATTTAGTATTATGAATGTTGTAAAATTTTGTTTGTATGTTTTGGTTTGGCTATTTCTCTTGTGAGTATATGATCATTAAACTGGATTGAAGCAATATGAATTTTCAAGGTTTTGATTTGGTTTTGAGAAAGCAAGAAGGGGAAGAAGAGAAAGAGGGCAGAGACGGTTTGGTGGATCCTAGCTTTGTTGGGTTTAGTCAGCAGAAGAGACAGCAGCAAGAGGAAGAAGAAAAAGGGGCAAGAAGATAGGTCGAGTGGTTTTTTTATTTTTTTATTAAAAATATAAAGATTTATCTATATGTCATCATTTTTTCTAGTTGAATGTCCATGTCATCATTTTTTTCCCGTTGGATTATCTATGTCATCAAAAAAATATAAAAAATGCCACGTGGACAGAATTAATGGCCTAAATTGATGGAAGACCAAAATTGTGCAGTTGTTAAAGTTAAGGGATTAAAAAAGTGTAAAAAATAATTTAAGGACCAAAAAAGTGTAACTCAATAAAGTTGAAGGACCAAAATTAACATTTAACCTTTTAATAAGTGTAAATAAAAATAAATATGTTACGTAATTAGTTTGTTTGATCGGATAGGATCGATGAGAGGGGAGGGAATGGATTGTTCTCTTATTATTATTATTATTATTATTATCATTATTATTATTTTGTATTTTAATATATACAAAAGATGGAAATGAAAATATATTGTTTTCTTCCCCTGCCTTTTTTTTTTGTCAAACCAAATAAGTATAAATGACATTTTA